AGGAATTCCAACTGAAATATACTCACCTTGAAAATTCCTTAAAATTCCCAAAAATTCCTAGGAATTTCTGGGAATAACTTGGAATTTGTAGGATTTTTTGAGAATAGGTTGGAATTTTTGGGAAAATCTGAGAAAAACTGGGAATTTTGTATCATTTGTAGGCCAGACAAAATTTTGATGATAAATGNAACTACAGAGAAATGATCGTGTTGATTTTTACTAATATACGGAAATTGATTCATGCACTGAGTTCATCTTTAATTTTGACACTTTGGAAATTTATAGAAATTTCCAACAATATTTCATGTGTTTTAGCTATTCCCCAAAACTCCTAGATATTCCAAACACATTTTTTAAAGCACTCTGGGAAATAATAGGAGTTCCAAGGATTATTCCCAATAATTCCCAGTCATACTTTCCACTATTCCCAAATATTCCCAGAAATTCCAAGGTCTTGGATAAAGCACAATTTGCATGTCTTGGAATAACTTGGAATTCCTAGGAATTCCTAGGAATTCCTAGGAATTCCCAGACTACTGGGAATTTATTTCGCAGGGGTCAGGAGCTCCGCTTTTAGGCTTGGCTAAATCTATATATTAATTGATTCAAAGCATGTACATTTGAACTAGATGTTTTTAAAATGAGAAAGAAATAGGGTCGCATGTTCACTTTTGTTTTAAATTTGGTGTGACTTCACAACTCCATTTTACTTTTTGTGAAACGTGTTGCACTGTGATTTGCAGGCCAATGCAGAGTACATCAAGATGGCTGATCAGTACGTGCCAGTACCTGGTGGAACAAACAATCATAATTATGCCAATGTTGAACTGATTCTGGATATTGCAAAAAGAATTCCTGTACAGGTAATTGTCTGTTCTCTAAGACAAGTTAGTGTCCTTGAATATTAATTATTTTATTATTCTAAAACTTGCAAGGCAAGTGGTAAGATTTGATTAGATTAAGTTGTTAAGTCCCATAGACAAAACTAGGTACTTTTATTCGTTTGTTCTTACGGCAATTAGACTACAGAAATCTTGAATTTTAAAAGCAGATTACACTAGGTTCTTAAGTCACATTTGGAGGATAAAATTCTTTGATCCTGAAAATGGAAGGGTAAAATTTACTGATTAAAGTGCTTTTATTTGTAAAAAAAAATGTAAACTACAACTTACATGTAAATAACATCATAATGATACACATTATTAAAATTTACAGTTATCTATGTACTGGTAGATTAAGTATTGTACATAAATCAATCCAGATAATTTAATATTTTCCGGCTGTGCAGCAATCCATTGTACAACTAAGTTTAACAAACAGTAACCGGACAAAGGCATATAATTGGGAGCATTAGCAACCCTGTCACTGACTTGGTTACATGTACATTATCATTATTTTCCAAGGCTGTCTGGGCTGGATGGGGTCATGCCTCAGAGAATCCAAAACTTCCTGATCTGCTTTCAAAGCATGGCATCACTTTTATCGGTAAGAACTTTTTGAAAATTTATGTGAATTTAGTTGTACTTAATTTAAGTATACAACCTATGTACGTACTTAGCGCTCTCTAAGAACCTGGAGGTCTTACTCAGTAATTGGTGCGAGTTATAGTTTATTCTGACTATTATTTAATGGGATTTCAGAATTGGAAATTTGTTTTAAGTCTTATTTTATTTATTACTTTTAATATTATTTTCATGGTGAAGCACAGTTGCATATATTTATAAAACTATGTAGCATAATAATAAACTTTAATTATTATTATTATTATTATTATTATTACTATTATTATCATTATCATTATCATTATTGGTACAATTATTACTTTTATTATTATTATTATTATTACTATGATTATTAATTTTTTAAATAATATTTATTAATTTGAACAACATCCAGTCCCTTTCAGTATCAAAGATTGTTTAATTATACTTAGAACTGTCCTTCTTGTAAAACAAAATTAATGTCTGATTTGACTGAATTATTTTTTCAGGTCCACCTGCATCAGCCATGTGGGCTCTGGGTGACAAAATTGCATCAACTATTGTGGCTCAGACTGTTGGTGTACCCACCCTCCCGTGGAGTGGATCAGGTCAGCTATTTTAAATAGGAGGGTTGGATTTGCTATTACCATGTTTGTTAAATTCTGTTCATGACCTGTATTTCAGTGCCTGGCATTGTGTGATTCATTTGTAAATATTTAATTTTTGTTTCGCTGGTTGACTAATCATTTGGTGTCCATGTTGATGTTTTAGGTCTTACCCTTGACAGTTCATCTAAGGACTTTGTTAATGGGAAAGTTGTAGGAGTTAACCATGACCTGTACATGAAAGGGTGCGTGAAAGATGTCAGCCAAGGAATCAAGGTTGGATATTGAACTGTGAAAGTGATCATCATCAATGAATCCTTTAATTACGTAATATTACGTTACTCCCAAGTGCGACAATCCTTTTGATGAATCCTTTGTTACAGTATTTGTGCAGTTGACATGATAAATTTTAAATCTTTAACTTGTAGAAACAGAGACTGTAAATCACTGAGAAAACTGAACCCTGACTCACCCCCGACACACATTTTATAGCCTCAATGATATGGGAGTGAAAGTGTTTGTAGAATATTCTATGTCCAGTGGATAACTCCAAACCAGCCTATTGTTTGCTGCAGCTGGGTGCATTCAGTGTATAACATGTATGTCATTTTGGGCAGGAGAAAAACCTCTATCTACAGTGCTTAGAAGCTGTGGATCATGCATGGCTTGGTATCTAAGTGATGAAAACCAATAACTACATGTAGTCTCTCAATTATATTTAATGGGTAGGTACATGTAGGTTTTGTCTTCCTACATGTTCCTGTTGTAAAAAGTGTCTTCCTTCAGGTTGCCAGAGATATTGGTTACCCTGTTATGATCAAGGCTTCTGAAGGTGGTGGAGGTAAAGGAATCCGAAAAGCATCCAGTGATGATGAGTTTACAAACTTCTTCAGACAGGTACATTATTGTACATGTATGCCTTAATTGATTGACATCCGCTTTCCCCTATTCCCAGCGATGTATAGCTACCTAGATAATATTACTACTACTATATAGTAGTAGTAATACCTAATATAATAGTAATTATAGTTATGTAATAATTGCATAGTACATAAATAGGGTATATTAACTATACATGTTTGTATGTCAGAACCAAACCCAGGACTACATATTTCATAATTATAGAATAAAAAGCTATTTCAAAACTATGTGAGGAATTTAAATTGTCTTAGTTTAAAATAGATATTTAATGGCTATGTAATTTTTAAATAGGTTTGGCATAGTTTGAAATGTATATTAACCTTTGCTAATACTGGACTATGTAAAAGTTTGGGGAGTAATTTAATAGACAGTCTTGAGCTATTCATACACCCTGTAGCTAAAATAATTACAGGTAGCTCAACACAGTAAAAATACAGTAGCATTGACATAGGTTTTAAATAAAGTTGATACATCTGTCAAGTGGAGTTTTACATGGATAACTTAATGCCTCCCTGATTATGTGAAATCATGGTATTTAAATTTGTAATTAAAATAAAATTGTTGTAAGCTGGCAGATTGGATTCGAGATAATACTCCCTTCAAGAATGTACATTTTATTAATAAAATTATAATCAGTATCTCAACAGATCCTATTCATAAATGGCTGCCAATTAAAATTCTTTTGTAAGTATTAAAATTAGCCCAACTAACCTGGTTTTTGAGTTGATAATTCAAAAGAATTTTTACTCTCAAACGAGGTTAGTTGGGTAATTTAAATGCATAAAAAGAGTTTTAAATTTGCAGCCATTTATGAATAGGGTATATACCCCTATATCTAGATATGACAGCTAATTACATGTACATGTCTTGATATTTTAAATACCATTTATTAGCTTTGTTCCCTTTAATAATCCATTCCAAAATACATGTACTTCACTTTCAATTTGGAGGTTCACTAAATAAATACGTATGAAATTATTCTATATTTTTTAATAATTTTTGAATTATTAGTAATAAATGAAAATTGAGAAATGATTCCTTTAATTTCTTCGTGCAGGTCCAAATTGAAGTACCTGGCTCTCCTGTATTTGTAATGAAACTTGCAAAGAAGTAAGTTCTTGATGTACATGTATAATCCTCTCAGTCTTGAACTAATTAGCTAGTGTAACACACAAACCTGCTAAATCAACAGTTTTGTAGCATTCAACTCAGATTTGATATTAGTAGATTTTGATCCAATTTTTTGTTTCCATTTTTCAAGGTTTGTTTGTTGTCATCATAGTGATGATTGATGGCAGCCAGAAACCCAATTGTTACATGTAATTAGGTTTAGCCTTTAGAGTTTATGTGCTATTGAAAAGTGCACAGTAAACTACAGTACATCATTATATATGAAATATAAAATATAAACACGATACTGTAAGTAATTAAGCTTGCAGCTTGTGGGGTCGTGTGTAAATAAACAATAAAGAATGAAAGTATAGCTTATACATGTAAGTCAATTCATATTATTTAACATTAGATGGTAACCTAATATTTTTAAACATTTATAATTAAATATTTTTTTCACATGAAAGCTTAATATGCATGTTTTATGGTATATTTTTGAATTCTTCTATTTATCTTTTTTTCAGTTCTTGGATTTTTCTTGTGTAGTTCCAGAAAATAATCCATACCTCCCCGAAGGAAGAGATTTTTTTCCAAGACCCCCCACCCCTCTGGAAATTCCAATTAAGGTTGACAGTCTAAATTTTTGGGTCTTAGAGAATGCCCCCACCAGGAAATTGCTTTTCCTTCTGTGGAGAGAGTATGGATATTTTCTGGGATTGCACATTTAAATTTTCTTGTTTTATTCATGGTCAATTTCTTGGTGAAAAAGCCTTTTTGCAATTCATATTGGACTAAATAAATATTTTAATTTTTAGATCATTTTTTTAGATTTAAATGATAATTTTGTACAGCACCCTTGAACATTAGGATACTGGCACTATGTAGTAATCTTTTATTATCATTATCATTATCATTGTCATTGTCATTATCATTATCATTATCAATCATTATATCGATTATCACTATCACTATCACTATCACTATCATTGTCATTGTCATTGTCATTGTCATGTTCATTGTCATTATCATTGTCATAATGTCATTGCCATAATGTCATTGTCATTGTGATTGTGATTATCATTATTATTAATTGTTGGTATTTACATTGTTTTTTTAGTGCAAGACATTTAGAAGTGCAGCTCTTGGCTGATGAGCATGGCAATGCGATGTCCATTTTTGGAAGAGATTGTTCAGTGCAGCGTAGACATCAGAAAATCATAGAGGAAGCACCAGCTGCTATTGCTCGGCCTGACATCTTCAGAAAGATGGAAGAGGTAACAGTTTAATGACGTGGATGAACCACACAGTCATTAATAATGATGATATTCTTATAAAATTACACACATGTAACATTGACATCACAATTTTTTATCCAAAATAGTACACAATCATATTAAATGGCTAAAATTTTATACTAATTTTACAATAAATACTTTTCATTAAGAAGTTTTTATTACAAGGATTGTAAAATTAGTATTCATTATTAATTATTAAGTGTCTAGCATTCCAATAAACAGATTCACAAGTACAAAGTAGTAAATAACATACAATAATATACAATAAGTAAATAATTAAAGAAATGACAAAACTCACTTAAACACTGCAAATATTTTAATTGTAAACTCTCTTGACGGATCATCATGAAAGGCCTGGTAACAATGGGAATGTTTCACAACAGTGTGCTTCAGTGTACTTCAGTGTACGCACATACATATCAGTAGGTTATGAGAATGAGCATAAAATGTCTACACCTGCTCTAGAGCTTATTGAAAAATTAGATTGGTTCTTAGCTTATGGCATGTAGGGAAAAAAGGTGTCTACAGTCCATAATTGATTGTTAATGATCCTCTTTCGAGGCCTGGTCTGAGCTTCCACTAACGATACTACATTTAGGAAATAACACACTGGCTGTGGGTAAAATTTGGGTGACAGGGAAGGACGACTGGGGAGTAGGGACCCAGGAAGGGGGCCCTCCTGGGGGAGTACAGATCGGGTGGTACCGGGGGTAGCCACCCTGGAATAAAAGTTCCAGACCTGCCTCCAGGGGTGAGGCCCNAGCCTTACTGTGGGGTAAAGTGCAGCTAATGGGTGCACTTCCCTGACAAGAATTGCGGAACTTGTTTAACTGAGGGATGCAATTCCGCCACAGTAAGATAAAGTGGGGGCAGGACTCTTGAGCAAAGGTCAGATGCCATGTTCATAAAATAAGATTACTTACAAGGTAAAGATAAGGAATGAGAGCTTCTGTGGCTTACTAACAGTTAAGGTACAGTTAAAATAGTAGATTGTGGAGTTTGGATATATTGTTCGTAGCAGTCTGAGCTCCACCGTCCTAGGACTTTAATGTCTCTAAAATAAAGTGTTACAATGCAGAATGTGTGTGCCTGTCTTTGAGATATTGTCTCTCAGGTCTCATTAACATCATTTTATGGATGCCATAAACTTAAACTTTAAGTTTTGAGATGCAATGAGAATAAAATTAAAGCAACTGTTTCTGACAGTACAGGTGTAATTAATATTGACTTTTCCGACAACATGCTCACATACAGGTACAAATTTGAAGGTTTTGAATAACATGTCACAAGTTATTGTAGTTAATATTAAATATAATCTCTTGGAGATAAAAAGATGTTCTTTGTTGTGTTCAGGATGCAGTGAAGTTGGGTCGTCTTGTGGGATATGTCAGTGCAGGAACTGTAGAATATTTGTACCATGCTCAGGATCACACTTTCCACTTTCTTGAACTCAACCCAAGGCTGCAGGTACACAAGGCGTTCATAAAATATCTCTTATGTCTTACACTTACATGTAAGTTGAGGTTTTGTGGGAAGATCAGGCTTATTTAATTGTAATTATCAAACTAAATGTTTTTTTTTTCTAATTCTCATACATGTATGTACATGATGCCATCATTTTTACTTATAATAATCATTACTTTTCCATGTAATAGGAAAAATTAATGTTTTTTTACAAATTAATTAATATGTTAATTTATTTTTAATAAATAAATAATTTTATGATTTTAAATATTCATGAAGATACTTATGAACACACTGAACACATACGGGTGTATGTCAGTGTATGTTACAACATACTAGATATATGGGGTTTTGAAGTTACGACAGCACAGCTGACCAATATTCTTTTCATTCCAGGTTGAACATCCTTGTACTGAGATGGTGTCTGACATAAACCTTCCTGCAGCTCAAATTCAGGTACAGTGTATAACAAGAGTCCTAGAGGCTTGGTCTGATATAGCATTACATAACATTTAGATCATTAAAATTGCCCTGGAATTTACATTATATGCAGTGGTTATGATGTGCACTGTGAGACAAATTTATTGGTGCATGATGCTTCTAGGATGAAATAGAGTGAGCACTTCATAGGTATCTGATCATAAAAACTGTAATCACATATCCCTTGTGGGCTGACTCCCCCACTGGATCCACTGCTACCTGATTTTTTGGCTGGAAGGTCCTGAATTCTCAGTGTCAGCTTCTACAAATCATTCTCCACTTACATTATTTCAAATTTTGGAGAGAAACAATTGAATGAAAGAATATCAAAGGAAAGTGATTTGTGTTTGAGATAACAGAGCTGAGATAACCAAGTTTGAGATGACAAAAAAAGGCAGTCATAATTACTGTAAACACAGTACATGTACATGGAGGCACTAGTAAATATTGGGATAACCTTTCAAAATGCTGGGTAAGCTGCTGCAATGATTTTAAAGCATCCCATTCGAGGAGAGTACATAGCAAATATACTTGCTGGAATACCCCTCACTTAACTGTGCCATTTTGACCTAAGCTTGTCTTTTAGAACTGTTTGCAGTCTTGATGTGTTTGTCAGTTGTCAAGTTGGTTATTATAATTATTTCTAATGGTAATTTAATTGGTTTTCTGATAGGTACAACGTGCAAGCAATTTACTGATATATAATAAGTTCAACTTACACACAACATTGTGCATATACACGTATGTTTCTTCCAGATTGCTATGGGTATTCCACTGTATAACATCAAGGATATCAGAACAATGTATGGTCATGATCCATTCGGAAAGGATCCTATAGATCTTGACAAGTAAGTGAAACATGCAGTTGGAGGAGAAAAATAATGCTATGGTCATGTATATGTAAATGTAGAGATCGGATAGTGCGTATTAATTGCTTAGAGATGCAAACTGTTGTAAATAGTTGTTTCAAAACTAAATGTATCACAGACGTGTACAATTATCGGTCAGTACAAAATGCAGACTGCAGACCAGGTACAAAATACAATAACATATACAAGTATACAACTGTACATTCAACTATATAGTTGTATACAACTTAATCGTTCATATTATTTGTTGTCTTTGTAGTCCTAGCAACCTTCCCAAGCCAAAGGGACATGTCATTGCAACTCGTATTACTTCAGAGAATCCAGATGAGGTATCCAACATGATAACGTAGTGACTATATATTTAACCCAGCGTCATGATACAATTGCCAAATTTATTTCTGTCATCCCGGCTGTCTATGATTATTGTTCTTTAATTGGCAGTTCTTTAATTGGCATCCCAGCTGTCTATGATTATTGTTCTTTAACTGGCAGTTCTTTAATTGGCATCCCGGCTGTCTATGATTATTGTTTCTGAACTGGAAGTTCTTTAATTGGCATTTAATGCAAATTTCAATATGAGGCTGCCATCTTAGATTTGGTGACTGTGAAGGACTGGGGGAAGGTAAAATTTGCCGAGGGAGTAGGCGTGAGGTGGATTACAATCCAAGATGGCAGCATCGAAAACCTGGTCTATCGCGCATAATCCATTCCAAAATAACACCTGCACTGCAGGCTTTTCTTATCAATGAAAGGTTTGACGCTGAAAGTGAAAGTTGAACTTATCAAAACATTCTTTGTACACTGCAATGGTGTATACATGCATGTATGTGCATAAATGTACTATGCACGAAAGCATCGTTGATCAAATTGCTGCTAGTATTTGTATTTTGTCTGTGTCTGTACATGTATAACCCTCCTGCACCCAAGGATGTAGCTACATGTGTGTAACTCTGATCTATAGAGCTGACTGCTGGCTTGTTCCACTAATTGAAAGTGAGGCATCATCACTAGAAAACAAATACTTGGTGTACTTTTAAGGTGCAAATGAATATGATGAACACCAAAATGATAGTTCCATTTTGTGCACCTTAGAAATGCACCTTCAAAAAATTGTTCTGCTCTTTTTCAGGGCTTTAAACCTAGTAGTGGTACAGTAAAAGAGTTGAATTTTCGCAGCATGAAAAATGTCTGGGGCTACTTCAGTGTAGGAGCTGAAGGTGGCCTTCATGAATTTGCTGACTCTCAGTTTGGTCACTGCTTTGCCTGGGGAGAGGACAGAGAGGCAGCCAGGAGGTGAGAAAGTTAGCCGTGAGAGAAAGAGTTGGAAGATATTATACCTATAAACAATAGCCTCCCTAAGTGGCACTTGTAAACATATGCTCAGATATTTGTCCAGGGGCATTATTTGTTCTGAGAAGTGAACAGTTTTCTGAGAGCAAAGCTCGAGGAATACACTGAGCTTTGAGGAACAGATCATTAAGGTCTAGAGACAAATATCTGAGCACTAATACAGTAGGTTTTAAAGTCAAATGGAGGTTATTGGATTTAATATTACTTGAAATATTTTTTAAACACAGAATCTTGTGAAAATTAGGGAATATTACTTGGATAGTCCCCAGTTTTAGCTCAAACATAATTAAGTCATGTGATTTCAACCAATTCCATGCATATGGGAGCAAAAATATTTGACGGATTATAAGGTTTATTATATAAGGTAATGGGCAAAATGCAACTAATTATGATTGATTATAAAATTTTTATCGTAAAGTTTTTAGTGAATACTTTAGTCCATATCAGAAAATGTAACCTCAATTTTTGCGATCTGACATTTCTTTAGTAGATAGTTATCTAGGTAAAACATTTTCAGATAATACAATGGATAATTTTGTGTTGAAGAATTTATTTTTTTGTGATCAATTGTAACTATTGACAGTTGAATATCTACTCCATTAATTTAGGAACATGGTTTTGGCTTTAAAGGAAATCTCTATACGTGGTGATTTCCGTACCACAGTGGAGTACCTGGTCCAGCTGTTGGAACATGAATACTTCTCAAAGAACATAATTGACACTGGCTGGCTAGATTATTTAATTTCCAAGCAAGTTCAGGTTTGTAAGCTCCCAGGTTATAATCAAAAATAATTCTTCCCACTGACCAGGTTCATAAGCTAAATGTGACTTGGTTAGAAAGCTCTCAGACTGATCATTTACCTTTTTGTCACCATTGAGAAACAAATTATTATTGCAAGTGTATATAATTATGTGTATTTAAGGTCATATTATTTGAACTTCAAGAAAAAGATATGAAAACATGATTGATCAATGCAGTTATATACACAACTTATTAAGCAGCTGTCAAATCAAAAAGCCTGAAAAAAATTTAGGCTTGAAATACATATGTATGAACTTATATCATGTTTATAAAAATGATCGATATTCTTCCATAATTCACTTGCATGTTCAGCATCTGTGGGTATATTATAAACTCACAATGTGACCAGCTCCCAATTGGCTAATGATAGCTCAGTTGGTAGCGCACTGCACCAGTAATGTAAAGTTCATGGGGTTCATATCCTGTTCAAGCCTAATTTTTTTTAGGCTTTTAATTACAGAGAAATAAATAAAATCTTAAAAATCTAAAATGCTAATTAAATTAGATACCATCATCATGGCCATGATTTCCTTTGTTTAAACTCAATGAATTATCAAATGAGTTTGAGAATGTTATAGACTGGAGTAAATTGAAAACCAACTGTGACTGACACTCACACAAGTTTTCCCTTGCTTCACATCAGCTACATTCATGATTGTATTAATTTTTTTTCACGTTTTGGTTGGCTCACTGGATTAGCATGTCCTTTGTGATTGAATAATGGCTAGGGGGGTTTCTTTGGTTTTGGTTTTATGTCAGTCAGTTGAAAATCTGCTCAAAAACGGGTGGAATCGATTTATTGTTTTCACACGTTATACACAATTCATTTTAATCACTCTGTAGACAGAGAGGCCTGATGCAATCCTTAGTGTTATATGTGGAGCTGTTCATGTGGCAGATGCTGACATCAGCAAAAGATATGTCAACTTCAAGTCTGCACTGGAGAGGTATTAATAGTCTTTACACTTCTGAAAATTGCTTGGTATAAAGAGGCCATCAAGGTTGATTTATTATAAAAATTATAACAAAATTAATTATAATTATACATTTGAAATATTTTCCATTCTTTTAGGGGCCAAATCCTTTCAACAGATTGTTTAGCCAACACTGAAGATGTTGAACTGATCAATGAAGGATTCAAGTATTGCTTAAAAGTAAATTTGTGTGATTTTTTTATAGCATACATGTAGTTGAGCTCGATTGTGGGAAGAAAACAAAGAGGAGTATGGCACCCTGGTTTTTCACTAAATACCCAGGTTGTTGGCAATGCAATTATATAAAGCTATCGAAAATGGCCTTTCCTTGGTACATGCATTAGTTTTGGCTGCCTTTGTCACACATGTAGCCAGTGCACATCAAGAGTTTTCATTGGTGTCATATAACTAATGTTTGCTAATTAAGCAACGCATTTTGGTCACTACAGTCTGTACACACAAATGCTGCCTTTGTCATCACATGTGATATTCTTGTGAACATTATTTTACCAGAAGTTAAATGAAAACCTATAACACTCCCAACCTAAAACTCAGAATGGTTTTAATCTTGCAATATAGTCCACAGTAGCTAAATTATAATCAACTGATCTGACTTGGTTTTCCCTTACTATGATCACAGTGCACATCTAAATCTTTTGCTTTTTATTCCACTTTTCTTTAAGATTTGGAAGTCAGGACCAAACACATTTTTTCTTGATATGAATAATTCTTGGACAGAAGTAGAAGCTCACAGGTATTTTAATTATAAATTATGCAGCTTCAGAAGAGATTTTGTTACATTTGTGCATTAAGTAGGGCATTGTTGTAAATATTGCTCTAACAGTACTCTAGACTCTGTGAGGGTAAATGAAGAGTCGTTCCTTGTTGCCTAGTTTTTTAAAGAGAAGTTCAGTCATGTAGAACTCGTTTGGCTTAATGTTTTGTTTTCTTGTATCATTCTGCAGAATGAGTGATGGTGGATTACTTCTGTCGTGGAATGACAGCAGTCACACCACGTACATGAAAGAAGAAGTAGACAGGTTGGTTTGTGAACAAATTTAGACAAGCCAAGAAAGACCTAAGATAATTGCTGAGTGTCGTTATAGTCACAAAATCTCCCTGACTAACTATTATGTTACTGTTGTTAATTTACAGCTATAGATTGACGATCAGTGGAAAGACTTGCATCTTTCAGAAGGAAAATGATCCTACAGTTTTAAGGTAACAACATTCTTTTAATTCACGACTTTTTTGGTTTGACTAAACTTAATGCAGTTGCAAAGATTGCACATTGTACAAGTTAGTGTATACAACTAAGCAGAAATAAGTGATCACTGACAAATTATATCGATACAGAGTGTTTCAAATGGTAGCATTAAATTTTCTCTAGCTTTATTTTAAGTGGGGGAGACGATGGAGGCATTAAAGTGCATTTGTGAGCCGATGGGGTATACTTTACATCAGGGAATTATTCATTGGTAATCCTAGTTAAATGTAACACTGATTAACAATCATGTTAATTTTATTGACATGATGTATCGATATCGTTCTCTGATTTAGTGGCACGTTTACAGTAAATTTATCCTTGTGATCTGTAAACTTATATTTACATGAAATTCCCTTTTGTATTAATTGGAGGATATTAAATTTTTAGTTAGTATTATTCAAAACATAATTTATAGTGACTACAGCTGAACTTAATATATTTTAACTGGTAGGTCACCCTCTGCTGGCAAACTAATTCAATTTACTGTTGATGATGGAGGACATGTCTTTCAGGGAGAGTCTTTTGCTGAGATTGAAGTAAGAATTAAGTTTCATAATCCAAATGTTATCATATCAGGTTTAGGATCAGGTTGCAAGGAAAATCACTGCATATGACTGGTAGCAAGATACTGGGGTAATGTTGGAATACTCTTTCTGCTGAACATGGTAACTTTGTAAGATTTTGATTTAGATTTCTGTAATGCTAATTCAAGGCATGTCCTAATTAGCTCTTTAGAAAGTTTTCACTGCAATTTCAGGGATGGTTATAGATACAATTCAGGTTATTTATGTTATGTTTCTAAATAAACAGGAATGCAAGTTAAGTCAGGAATGTTAACCAATGTACGATTTTGTAGTAAGTTGTTGACTGCATTGGCAGCAGGGAATACCCAGAGACATCACTCTAGTTGGGTTTCTCAAACTCAATACAACTGTACAGTACTGGTGAAATGTAAGCTGACAGTTTCGATGCTAAACTTGATACTCAATCTTTCACGCTTTTGAGAATCAAGATTTGAGTTTCGAGGCTCAAGTGTCTAGTTTTGATTTTCAAGTTTCAAGACACTTGTAATAGATAAGAAGATAAGTAGTACAACAAGTATAAGTTTGTCTTTGTTTTCTTGACTCAAAACTCAAACAAGTTGACTCTTAACTCAAACAACTCGACTTGAAACTCAAACAACTCAACTTGAAACTTGTTACTCAAAGTGACTGTCAAGTTACATTTGAATGATGCTGCAATTGTAGAATTACACGTGTTTTGCAGCTGTGCATGATTATATACAGGTTGGTTGGATATGTTATGTTGCATAATGTTTGTTGGAATGTCATATCCTACCCCTGCCATCATAAATAACATTGTCATCATGCTATCTCTGAATCGTTCATGTTAAAAATCTCTTCACTGAAATAATATGTACTAAATATTATAGTGAAATGTTTTATGAAATCTTCTTACATGTATATTAGTTAATATACAGGGTTTATTCTTTCAACTTGGTGAACTCTTTCAACTTTCTTTACCTTAACACTCTGTTAGGTCATGAAGATGGTTATGCCCTTGATAGTCAGTGAAAGTGGCTGGTAAGCAAGTATTTTGATTCGATTTATTTGCAAAGTGTTCACGTTATTGACTCCTTACTAATCATCTTGGAATACATTAATCAACAACATTACCTAGAAATTCATTGAACCACGATATATACTCATCCCAGTTTCATGGTGTGGTTGGTAAATTTGATAAAGGTTTTTTTTAAAATGCTGCTGAAGTGGATATCTTAATGAGGCAGCATGGTTTACCTTGCAACCTCAGTTTTCATAGTTCTTGCATAACTTGTTAAGATGATATCTGAGTTCTTGTAGTTCTTTGTGCTTTTTAAATTACTGGTAATTGAACAAAAGAGATTTTACAAGTATGTTGACTGGAAGATTATGGACAGAAATGGTGAGACCTGCCATTATGGTAGTATGCTAAGAACAGTAATTCTTGAGGTTGTTTATCCTTAACAAGAATTGATTTTTAAAACAGTGTGCACTATGTGAAGAACCCTGGTGCAGTGTTAGAGCCTGGCTCAATTGTGGCCAAGTTGGAGCTTGATGATCCCAGTAAAGTTACACAGGTACAGGCATCATTACAGTATGTTGTGAGATAAACTTAGCAAATATGCAGTGCAGAAAATTGGTTTATAGACATGGCTTATAGTGCTGTCACATTACTATCCTTCCTCTAATTGAGAAAAATTTTAGGCTAAAGTAGATAACCATTTATACTCAGTGGCAATTCTGTATAGAGTTCATTGTTTCTCATTGAGTCACCTTCAATCTACAAAGAATCTTGAAATCACCTCTTCTTTCCATTAAAATATTGTCTGATATTTATTATTGCAGGCACAGGTCTATAATGGCCAGTTTCCTGAAACTTGTGGACCAAAACTGAAAGGAAGCAAATTGCATCAGGTAATAATCCACTTATGGCAGGGATGTTGCTCACTAAGTGTTTCTGGTTAAATCAGCAACAGTTAAGGAAATACATGAGACAATATAAGTCATAGAAACCGACGTTTCGGTGCATCTTGCGCAATTAATTATAACCTTGATAATGGCGCAATGTGCACCGAAACGTCGGTTTCCATCACTTATATTTCTTGTCTCATGTATTTCCAAATCGTTTCTAATAAGAGTTAAGGAAATGAACTGTAAACTCATGACTAAAATCCAATATCAGCTCACATGTGTAAATTACTTAATATTCATGACTCCCTTGGCACAGTGTTCTGATTGCTTTCATCTCCCTGAGGAAATTGCATTTTTATTTCTGTGTCTTTTTTTATCGTGAAAGTTTATTGATCGGATCCCTCATTCCATCTGTACTGACAATTGTACTTCGGAAATTGTGTTGCAGGTTTTTCAAGCCGCACGTGAGAATCTTCAAAATATCATGGATGGATACTGTATTGGGGAACCCCATTTTTCACGGAGACTGGAGGAAGATGTTAACACACTTATGAAGGCCTTGAAAGATCCTGCATTGCCTTTGCTGGAATTACAAGTGAGATACCATTAGCCATTCCTGGAAGTTATGAAAAAGTCTCATGTTATATTTGAATTGTGCAAGCTAATAGTAACTGATGTTCTTACCTATTCTGTGCAGGAAATGATCTCATCCATTGCAGGGCGTATTCCTGCAACAGTCGAAGAAACTATAAAGCGACATCTTTCAAGCTATGCCAGTAATATCACATCAGTACTGAGCCAGTTTCCTAGTCAGCAGGTGAACTTCTAATCTCAATTATTTCAAGAATGTAAAACAGAAATAATTTAATTTAGTCCTTTTTGTCAGCGAAGAAAATGTCCATTTGTTGTGATTGTCCTGATCGGTTATCTTTGTAAATCTTTTAACCGGCATCTACATGCCCTATGAAAATGTGGATAAGCAGTATTTCTTAGTGTGGATCAGTTGTCAGCAGTCTTGTCTTTCTTGTGTCTCTTTATAAAAGACTGACAAGATTGCGCTAGATGTTTTGAATACTCATACTACTCACCAGAAAAGTTTACTAGTATATGTCTTACTTACCATGAGCTACTGCAGTAACAGAGAAGAATTCTAGGTTTTATACAGTGTTTTTCCATTTCCTTATGAAATTCCTTATGAATCATCATCAACGGATAATGTTGCCAACTGCATGTAGGTATTTAACCAAATTGATCTTACTGTGGCACTGATTGAAAGAAATGGATTTTATAACAGATTGCAAATGTTGTTGATGCACATGCAGCAACTCTGACCAAGAGAACTGAAAGAGATGCCTTCTTTTTGAACACACAAAGTATTGTGCAACTTGTGCAAAGGTAAGGATTTCTTCTTAATGGAAGGCAAGTTTAACTGTACAGATTAGCGTAAGGTTTGTTTCTAGTAAACACGTTTTCAGAAACTTATACATATTTAACATGATAACGTACTTTTCTCTCTGTTTTCCCTGCTGGTCTGTGTAGTTGTGAGGAAACCCCAAAATGTATTAATTTAACTGTAACGTCGAACGCAAATTAGCTGAGAAAGTGTGGGAGTAGGGGAGGCAGGAATGATGAATTTTGTCTTGAATCACTGTACCGCTATGTTTGTTATTTGTTGTATAATAGGTATCGCAATGGAATTCGTGGACATATGAAGGCAGTTGTTTTGAGTCTGTTGAGGCAATACTTGCAGCATGAAGTACTTTTCAACGAAGGTATTAAATATTGATAGGTCACTTGAGTAGGCGCTGAGATACAGATCTTGCCACTGTCACAGCATATTCTCATTAATGTTTTTCAAATTCTTTCTTTTTTTTTTGCCACTCATTTCTTTGATGCGCAACGTTAGGAAAAGTCATTGATGACAAAATGTTTTAATCGTGAATGATTAGACAAAATCCGTTGAAATGATTAGCTTAATTAGCTTTTATCGATTTCTGTACTTTTTTCCTTTTGTTGCTGTATTTTGACCAAGAATGATTGTCTTTTACTCTACCTTTCCTTATGACCAGTAATCTAGCTCACTAATTAACGTTCATAAATTGTTCAACTTCCTAGGAAATTTTGAAAAGTGTGTGACATTGTTGCGTGACAAGAACAAGTCCAAGGATCTTGCATCCGTTGTCCAAAGTATATTTTCTCACTCTTCTGTGGCCAAGAAAAACCAACTGACAATAATGCTTATAGTGAGTATATTTTCTAAAGTGATATTTTCATTATTCGGCTAAATTGCTGTTAAATCAAGTGAACTTGGTCAAAACATAAGTTTGTTAAAAGGAAGGATGCATTAATTTTTGTTACGAAAAACTACATGTAGCTTAAACGTTGGTGTCAGTGCAATGTACTTGATACGTTTGTTGTGCAGCAAAAGTGCTGCAGCTATTTCCTGATCTAAGAGACCGAACAACTATCCCACAGCATAAATTTGGCTTGGGTAATTCAAAGCCTAATAATGAAATACACTCTCTACCACTCCCTACCCATTTGCACAATAATGTCCCACAATTTGGTCTTGGTGTTTCTTTTTAATTAGGTTCCAGTAGAAATACAATGCAAATACCCTTCAATACTTCAACTGGGTTAGAGTTTTAAAGTCTTGATTAAATGACGTTGTTTATTAAAGGTGAATATGGAATCCTTTGAATGACTTTCTCTTCTCAGGACCAATTGTGTGGACGCCAAAGTGGTTTGTCAGATGAACTAAATCACCTTCTTCAAGAGCTTACCACACTCAATAGAAATGACCATGGCAAGGTAGCGCTTAGAGCGCGACAGGTTTGTTTCAGCATCAACTTGCTTATTATTGCTTATATTATGTAGAGGTTTCAGTTGCAGGTAGTCGTGGCGCCATTGCATTTTGTAATTTTCTATTTTTTGTTGGGTGTGAGGGGGGATGGGGATCATAGTCTGAGTTAATAAAATTGTTAAAAAAAAATAGTGTACATGAAAACCCCTCACATACCAGTTGGAATAAGGTAAGATTGTTGACGGTTTTTTTCCCAATTTTGTTATTTTTGGCAGGCCTTGTTAGCATCTCAGCAGCCATCCTATGAGCTTCGTCACAACCAGATTGAGTCACTCTTTCTCTCAGCTATCGACATGTATGGTAACCAGTTGGCTTCAGACAGTTTCCAGGTAATGCGTGCGTAGTAAGAACAAGAATACACATATACGAGTTTACATTAAGGGATTAAAGTGCCACTGAAACGAAATTTTCGTACTCTCTTTTATTAGCCCAGTTTATAGTTTCAAACGTGTTTAAAATAATGGTGAACTTTATTTCTGTCAAATCCTAACGGAAAGTGTTTTTTTTAGTTACTGAAATCGACTTTTTGGAGCAAAACTGTGTCCGGGCTCTGGAACCGAGTTTAAGGACCTTGTGACGTCACTGGTTGTATTCACGCGAGAAGCGCTATANACCTGCGACCCCCCCTGCGACAGTGACAGGGGACAATGGCACGCTTAAATCAAATAATCGCACTCGTGCATGCGGTGGTTTCCGCTTTTTCGGAGATTTTCTTTTCCTGGGTGATCTTGACCAGCAAAAAATACTCGGAACTGCGTGCTTCTCCAGAACACGCTTCCCTGTTAAAGTTGTCTTAAAATTCGCTTCCTTAAAGTGTACAGAACATACTCTTGTGCTGTTTGTTATCTGTAGATAGACCAGATCATAATAATTAATGTAAATACATGTGCGCAACAATGACATCGATAACCTAACCAACTTACCCGCACACTTTTGCCCACATCTCGCCGTATTTTGACAACCCACTGCTTTCGAATGGATTCATCACTCGGAAATTGGTGAAAGGTGAGATTTGGAGTATTTTTAACGCGATTATTTTGATATTGTGGCACGAAACGGTGATCTCTGTTGGGCATGATTGCAGACGATCGCCTTGTCTCCTCGATCGCCGGAAGTTGACCGTTGCACTCGTGGCCTCGCACTGGTGTCAAAAGTACATGAAGTCAATCCAAGATGGCTGCTGTGCGATAAAGGCGAATGAAAGCAATTTTTGAAACGTTGTGTGGATAAAATAAAGAAAAATGTTTTTTCTTGTTTAAGTTAGTATAAATATATATATATATTTTTTATTTGCATTGCAACACCCACGACATCCCTGATAAAGAACGTGACTACAGTGCTCCGGGAAATGATTCAGGTGAATAATTTTTAACACTTGTTTATTTCCACAAGATGGCTCAGTTATTAATTTCACCGATAAGTTACAATACAGTGGCCNTTCATCACTCGGAAATTGGTGAAAGGTGAGATTTGGAGTATTTTTAACGCGATTATTTTGATATTGTGGCCCGAAACGGTGATCTCTGTTGGGCATGATTGCAGATGATCGCCTTGTCTCCTCGATTGCCGGAAGTTGACCGTTGCGCTCGTGGCCTCGCATTGGTGTCAAAAGTACATGAAGTCAATCCAAGATGGCTGCTGTGCGATAAAGGCGAATCCCCCCGAACCTTTCTACTTTTTCTAGTCTTTCGACCTTTTCCAGAGCGCATGGCTTGTTTTGGCCAGGATGGCCTCACCAAATGGCGGTGATAGTGATTTACCGAACGAAGTATGCGACATTACGAACTCCGTCACCATATATTACGAAAAGGATGTTCGAGCAGGAATGCCTTCATTCAGGAAGGAAAGTTCTTAGCCCAGATTTCAAGGACAGTGAAGACGCTGAAAGCTTTGAAAGAAATTGTCAAGTGCGTTTACGGGCCATCTCTTGAATATGGGAATGAAGAATCGTTTTCTTTCACTGATACGTGAACAAAAGAACACAAAACAGTAAACCGTTTACAGAAAGAAACGCTAGAATCATTTGTGCTTACTTATCTGCTGCCCATTGAATTCTTTTTAGATATTTTATGCGATATCTATTTTTTAAACGTTTCTTTGTTAATAATTAAACTAATTATTAATGTAACAAATTAATAATTAACGTAGAAACGTCTTTGTAAAGTAGGCGGGATCTGGATTTCCAGGCTAAAAAGGGCGGGATGGCGGAATTAACAGGAAAAAATGGGCGGGAAAGCGGGATCTGAGAACCCTATTGTGGACCCTCTTAAATCGCTAAGTGAAAAACACCATCGGCAGATCTGTCACGCATCCTGAGCAGAACACCACGAAGAAACTTATAAATCATCTTAGTCATAACAATTACCGAAATAGTCAACTCCATCACAGTTAGTTTAGTAGTTCTCATCAAATAGATTCCCTCGTTTTAACACAAGCAAGTGTAAATCAGCTTCAAGGGTCGTCAGATGTAAACAATCGGGCGGTTTCTGTCGGCAGCAGTGCTTCTGATAACTACAGGAAGTTTTAGACGTTCACAAGGCTTTAAAAGTTCATCCATAAATCTCCCAGAATGAAGAAGGCGAAGATATGTTGTCGAAAGTGAATGCGAAGGTCGAGTTATTCTGAGCAGTGTATTCTGAAGGAGTGGTATTTTCTTTCACCGAAAGACCGTTGGTTTGGACTATTTTGAAGGACTCTCTGTCTTTCTATACGCGTTGACGTTTCGCCACAAAAGTCGGAAAAACTCCCCCATCAAGTTGTGGCACCACTATACTATAATACCTTTTTGAGGCTGTGACGATCATTTTTCTCGTAAAGAAATGTGTTTTTGACGGAATACGTTATACAGTGGTGAAGTTCAGTGACTGTGTAGTTTTGTCCTGGATTTGAGACAATGAATGGATCGGTAAACGAGCGCATCGCCGGATGTAAATTGACGACTTCCGCTCGAATAATTTTTTTCTTTTCTTTAATTCATAAGCCATATAATAAACAACTTAATAGACTCGACCGTTCGGTCGTTACGGAAAAATCNGTTTGAGATTTTCCCGTAACGACCTCACTCTCGGTTATTAAGTAGTTATTAATGATTGATACCTTCAAGACAATTAAATAGTAATAGTAAATTGTAATGCCTTGTTTCAGAAATTGATACTCTCCGAGACTGCTATATTTGAGTTTCTTCCAAGCTTCTTTTACCATTCCAATGAAGCGGTCAGAAGAGCAGCTCTCGAGGTAAGTTTCAAGTACATGTTAGCATTATATTTCATTCAATACAAAACTACAGGGCGATGTCTTTTGAATTGCTTATGTCTTGTCACAAATAGTATCACTTTCTCGCAGGTTTACATCAGGCGTAGTTATCAAGCCTATGAACTCACCACACTATATCACGAGAAGGTAATTGTTTTTTATGATATTTTTGGGTTGATTAAACGGTGTTTAGTGATAATAACTCAGTTGTAAAACAATTCGTCTTCTAGATTTGGCTTTCATAACTCGCCCACCTGTTAAAGCCGGGTTATGTCGCTTTGTACAGCAGATAGTAGTTTCCGTACAATATCATTTACTGTGTTACAAGAGTCGTTGTAGCTGTCTTTTACATTATTTGAAACTTTTATCCAGAAAATAGAGGTGCATGGGATTCGTATCATTCTTAAATTGCGTATTCTGTGTCACGTAGGTAGCAAGATTGTGTACCACGATGGAAATGCTCCCTGTATTGGAAAAATCCTGTTTCCTTGACAATGTAACCATTGCAATGTGGTCGTGATGTTAAGGTTATTGTAAGATATTGTCAACCAGGAAAAAACGGTATCGATCAATCCTGACTTTGCTAACTTTGTCGTTTATGAAACTTTTTTTTAAGGTTGAGGAGAATGTCCTTCTTGTTCAGTTCCAGTTTATTCTGCCAAATGCGCATCCAAACAGGTTTGTTTTGCGCACGCACGAATCAAATATCAAATTCTTCCTCTAACACAGGAAAAATACGAACTTGTTACAAAGCACGTCATAATGTTTAAGTCCCTCTCAAGGCTAGAAAAGAATTAATTCTGAAGCTATGATCTTCCAGACTGGTTTGTTCACACCCTCCACTCCCAGCCAAACGGTGTCTGTCAGGTTTATTATTGTTTGGTGTGTGTAAAGTGAGTGAGGGTTTGATCTGTAAACTAAGCGGAACTGCGGTTTTAATGTGACAAATTTAGATCATTTATGTCAGTCTGGTTTATAATTCCGGCTTCCCCAAGAAGCGGTTCACTCATTTAATAACAGGAGCTTAATATGTAATACTTCTTTTTTTACTTTTTGTTGTTTTTCAGGTTGCCGCAGAGAGTTCCTTCTAGTAAAACTGTTCTTGCCATGCCGAGAGTATGTACTGAAAAACTTCACTGTTGTCTTATGTAATGAACGTGAATTAATATATTGTGATGCTGTGGGGATAACGTTTGTCATCATGAACAGTTCCCGATACATTTGAGCGCAAAGTGTTCACAGTGTTCGTTTTATTGTGTTTTAGGTTCGTAGTCTGAGTGAGGATATGTTTGACCTCATAAACCAGCCGCCCTTGCAGCAATGTCAAAGAACCGGTGTCATGGCAGCATTTCAATCCATTCTTGAATTTGAAAGGTACGCTGTCTAGTATTGTTTAATTCGAGGACTGTTTGATGTGTTATCCTTATATTTCCTATTCTTTGAGGGGAAGTAAGTTTGATAATATTATTTCCTCGCATTCCATGGCTACTTTGTATTATAAAAGATGGTCAGTTTCCTTATTGCTTACCAGTTATGGTAACTTTGCCCTTTTGCCTACCCTGTTCAAATCATACTTTGTTCCTTGACACGACATACTTATATTAAGGCAAAAAATGACACCTACGTGTATGGTGATTTGTTAGAATGCTCAAGCTTTCCTAACACTTTGATTTCCTTGTTTTCAAGGTTTGTCAGAATGTAATCTGGACCCTCTCATCCAGTAACAAGCCTTGTAAAATAGAGAATAATAACGACCTACAAATTTCTATACATGATATACATTGAATTATTTGTAGAAACTTTGATGATATCATGAGACGCTTTGAACCACCGACCCCTGAACAGCTGTCTCCATCACCCATGACGAGAAAGATGAGCCTTGACCCAGTGTGGGAAAGTGAGAACAGGACAGAGGTTAGATAGCAGACGGGTACCCAACTCGGCCATCTAAATCAGAAACATATGATGAAATTACTTATGATATTAGTGTTATGAGGACTATGTACTCTTATCAGTCAGTGCATATAAGGCCTGGTTCACACTAACGACATGAACTACAAAATGACATAACGACATAATCGCTCATGTCGAGAATGTGAGCATCATCATAAAGATTTAAGGAACGATCATTATTTTCGTTAAGCATTATGTTCATGCCGTTTGTTGCTCTGATGTCGTTATTTCAGGATGTCCAAACTGCAAACATAACGACGTAACGTCCTTCTTATGACGTTATTTCATTATGTCTCTAATGTGAACCGGGTCTAACAGACGACCTCATTAATTTTACTGACGGTATAACTCTTTTTTCTGGTCCCGAGACAAATTAAAGTGGAGCAAGAACAAGATTTATATAGTGAGAAAAGTTGAAGGACTATTCTCTGTAAAAAACCTTTTTACCCGTTAGTTGTGTGGGTTTTTGAGCGAAACTACATCTAGTTTTTTAGAATTCCTTTAGAATCCTTTAAAACTTTCATCTGAAAGGAAGAAAAGAATCTTGGAGGACCCTGCTTTAAATAAGTACATATGAGCAATACAATTATTCCCAAAATTTAAAAGATGTTCTTATTTTTCTTTAGCCTGGTGCGCGAAAGGAAGAGGAACCTGTTCACATCATTAACATTGCCTTGCAAATTGAGAAGAATTGTAAAGATGTGGAAATTTGCCGCAAGATGGTGTACGAATTCACACAGTCCAAGGTGAAGATTTACATTGTATATTTAATCAGACAATTTCTTTTGATGTTAATGTTGTAAGAAAATGTCCTAACATTGTATATTCACAACGATTTCCACTTTTTGGGGTTTCGAGGAAACCTAAATGCGGAAAAAGCCTCAACAAAAGCAAAGTGCCGGTATTTGTGATTGGGAATGCCTCTCCTTAATCTTTCTTTTTATCCTTTCTTTTTTCTATTTTTTTGCAGAAAGAGATTTTGAAGGACAAGGGAATCAGAAGAATTACTTATCTGCTCAGTGATTGTAAGGTAAAGTAAACGTCTGGTTAGTTTGTTGTTGATTGTAAGCCTGTTAATTTTTCGCAGACATGACTTTTACTACTTGTTGGAGAGCCCAGGTTTTATCTTTATAAGGTGATGTTTATTTGAGGAGCTCATTCGTCGCCTGCTCTTTTGACTGTTATTTGTTCATTCAGACGAGAAATATACTAGCAAACACAAACTTTGCCCTGCACCAAATGTTGCAAAAGCGTGGGCAGGAGCTGCGTGTAGCTGTTGGTCAACGTTAATCTCCCATGAATTCTTGCATGTTCATTTGTTCAGTATAGACCATAATTATGAGGGAAAAGTCAATTAAAAAATTCCATACAATTCTTACAACGTTGCGTTGGAGCCACCCATTCATGGCTTGTGGTTTTTCTTTGAGTTTTGAACATTTTATGACGTCGTTTCTACTGCATATAAAGACTATGGAATAAAAGTTTTAAGAATGTTTGGATTTAGTCTCCAGTCATTGTTAAATTCTGGTTCATTCAATAGGGTATGCTACCATGGTTCTTTACCTTCAGAGCTCAAGGAAACGTGAGTAAAACGCGCATTTTCAACAGTTACCTGATCTTTCTTTCACGTCGATAGCGCGGTTTTCGCTTGGGTGTCGAGAGTACGTGGCATTTGTTTTGGTTTTGATTACCACACCAAGCGATTGGCTTACCAAAAACATTAGCGCCGCTTTGTCATCCAATCAGAAGTAAGACTAAAACCAATCGTGACTCGCTATCACAAGTTTTCCCGCGCTTTGCGTCGGTCACATTTATTTGCTTTGAGTTTTGATTGCTTCACTGGAATGTACGCGTTCTTTGTGATTGGCCACAGTGGTTACATTGGCTTTTGGTTTTACGACACTCAGTTGATAACCGCTCTATACATGTATGTATTATTTCTTTTTCTCAGTTTGAAGAGGATTCCATTTACCGTCATTTGGAGCCCGCCCTCGCTTTCCAGTTGGAAGTTTACCGCCTACGAAACTTTGATCTGCAGACAATTCCAACCACAAATCACAACCTCCATTTGTATCTAGGCTCAGCCAAGAAGGTATTGTGTCTTAATTGCTGTTATTTTATTACCTGGTTCCTCCACAACACCGTTACTCCTTACTCGTCACTTTTAATCCTCATTCCTCTCTCAGGAGAGTATTTTCAAGCATGTGGATATAGGCTATATCATTAACGTGACTTTGAACTATTTTCTTTGACTGCGAATCGTTTCAAAGGAAATTGTTACCCTTTGAATCTTTGTGAAGTTATCTCAAAGTGTGCGGTATATAAAAAAAAAATACTTGAAAGAAAACGGTAATATACCAACATTATTTTTGTTTGTCCTCTTAGCTTTCAGCTCAGTCAGAAGTCACCGACTACAGGTTTTTCATCAGGAGCATTGTGAGGCACTCGGATTTCATCACCAAAGTAATACGATAGATTATTTTGAGTAATGTTTTCAGTGCTTCGACTTTGATAAGTTTATTAAAGGATTTTCGTCTTTTTTGTCTCACTTGCTAGGAAGCATCATTTGAATACATGGAAAAGGAGAGTGAGATTCAGCTTCTCGAAGCTTTAGATCAGCTAGAAGTTTGTTTCTCAGAGTGTGTAAGTCATCTTGTCATTTATGCTTCATGTTGTGTCATAAAATAGTTATACAGAAAAGAACGACCTCACTGCTAAAGAACGATTTTTTGATCTTCCTGCTGCATTAGTTTTAACAAAAAGCGCAAAATAAAACATACAATCAGTAATTCGACTGTTAGATACATTTATCTCACCTCACCTCATCCAATAACAAGCGCTTGTTACTACTTCCTAAATTTCCTAGCCTCTGCATTTTCGAGACGGGGTAAGCAAGCCTTCGAACATTTCAATCCTGTACAAATGCTTTAATAACTATTAAATATATATTTACATTATTCAATGTTGTTTTATTATTGCAGCCCAAAAGGACAGATTGCAATCACATTTTCCTTCACTTTGTTCCATGTGTCATCATAGAGCCCCACAGGGTAGGTTTGCCTTGACATTTGTAATGGAAATAAATACACGGTACACGTTGAGTTGGTTAGGTCGGGGGTAGGGGTATGAGAAAAATAGTACACTAAGAAAAAGAGTGCAAACACATTGGAAGATTTCAATTCACCCCTTTTTTCTTGAGAGGGGGTGGGGAGAGCGGGAGGGATTTTATATTATAGATAAAGGCGACATTGTGTGACAAAATTCTTTATTTCTGGCAGATTGAAGAGAGTATCCGTGACATTGTCACAAGGTATGGTAGACGACTTTGGAAGCTGCGTGTTCTTCAAGCTGAAATGAAAGTGACTATCAGGTATTGGAAGTTATTACAATGACATTTTGCAATCATCATCTCTCTATGTGCCTTTTGGCGCGTAAATCCTCATCATTCCGCTTGCATTCAGCCCTATTCGTGGCTACCGCAATAGCGGCAGTGACAGTCATTCCATTCCGCTTGCTGTCTTTCACTTTCCTGATCCAGGTATTTTTTTAGTCTACCTATTGTCCATTTTAAAGTTCTGGATATCAACCTAAAGCCACTGGATCTTTCGCCACGAAGATGGGCCAGTCGTCCTTTTATAATTATCCCCTGCTTGACTTTGCTAATGTTTGTCATCTCGGAGACTGTTCCACTGCTCACACGCACGGGCTATATATTTCTTAGCATCTTTCGCAAACATTTACATTCACATTCTGTCACACTGTGTGTTATATGTAAATACGTTTCTCCTCACTCCATTTGCTTTAAACATTTTCAGGCTCACACCCACTGGGAAAAAGATTCCTCTGCGATTATTTATCTCCAACGAGTCTGGGTATTACCTGGGCTTTCATATTTATCGTGAGGTTACGGATCTGAGAACAGGACAGGTAATAATTTACGTGAATATTTATGCATGAACTCAGTAGAGAAGGAACAATTTTTGTCCGTTCAAGGCATTGACAGCTCTTACGTTCAAAGGGGTGTTGCCATAATGGCAAAGTCAAATCAGTGGAGTGGTCAAGGAGCATTTCTTGTTCAAACGGAGGTACTCAGTTATAATTTAGGCAACGCTAAAAACAGCTTTGACCAAAACTGCAGCAAAATTACTGTGACTGTATCTCTTAAAGTGGCTTTGGCTGCAGAGGTTGCACTGGGTTAGACTGCATAAACGTCTGGGACTGGAGGTTTAAACGTCAAATACTCTAATTGCAGGGATTTTAAGTTGCGTGACATGACGTCCAAAATGAGAATCCTTTTTGTCGTGATGACCTGGTGTGTAACTATAATTTCATTGAATGTTCTAATCAAGTATCATCATTTCCCACATGAAACATTATAGTTCTGAAGACTGATTTAAACCGATGGTGTGCTTTAGGTCTGAGAAGTGTAGTGTTATTTTGACCTGACCCCGGATTCTTTGGTTAACAGATAGTGTTTGAGTCCTATGATCAGAAACAGGGTCCTCACCACGGTCTTCCTGTCAGTACACCTTATGTCACCAAAGATCATTTACAGGTAAAAATAATTCTGGACATATCTTGGAAACTGTTGGTAGTTTCTCGTTTTCAGGCACTTTTTTTTTCGGGTGGGGGGTTGGGGGTGGGGGAAGGGTGGATTAAGAGCAACAACGCACTTTCTTTGTCCGTTCAGAAAGCAAAGAGATATGTGAAGTAGTAAAACTGGTTGTTGCTAAGGAACTCAAATACTATGTCAGCACTTTCAGTATCTTTTGGGAATGTCAGTAAATATTTAGGCTTTGCTTATTGTTAAAGGCGCTGCTGACCTTAATCAGAGAACTTATGCACCATTTATTGATCTATTTTCAGCTGAAACGATTTTCTGCGCAGTCTCTTGGAACCACTTATGTGTATGACTTCCCTGAGATTTTCCAACAGGTGATTAGATAGAGTTGTTACGGAATTTTAGACATGCAGTTCGCTGTTAGGAATCGTAAGGTAATGTTTCGTCAATGTGCAAGAATTTAGTATGCGTGGAAGCCCATTACACCTTTTGGTGTTCATTTACAGAAAATATCCATTCATTTGTGTTGAAATTTGTTTCATTATGGTCAATAAACTCTCATTAACACCAATACGACACTCATTTGCGCGTAAGGAACGTTTAAGAATAACATTTGCATATGTATTAACATTCAAAATCATCAAAGATAAACAATATCTTCCCTTGACATTCATTGGCTCTAAATGAATTTTCATTTTTGTAGAAAAAAAATTCGTTGTCACGAAACGACAATCATTTACACTTTTGGACATTTCTTTTTCAACAAAAGACTTTCAATAACAGAATTTGCATGAGCAGTCACAATCAATTGCGTTATTATACAACCATATTCGTGAAGGTGACAATCTTAAATACGTTGAGACAGACATTACCGTGTTTTCACCCAACGTTAAGAGAAAACAATAGCTCATTAGCGTAATTCAGAGATAAACGGAGAGATATCGTAAACAGAGACATCGCGCCCAATTTTCCTCGAAAATTTGATTATAGAACTAGGGACCGTATGAACCTTTTTTAAATCGTATTTTCACGATCCTCCCCTTGCAGATATAAATTCAGCCTCTTACGAATCTTTCGCGCGCAACTCAGAGGACGCACTACAGTATACATGTACATGTAATAAAGCGACAGTTAGATTTCCCCACAAATGCAACGAAGAAATAGAATCCCATTTGAACACAGCGAAAGGATAATCAGGGACTAAATGTGGACGATGGTA